AAAATAATAAAAATTATTACTTTTATATTGATATTTTAAGAGTAGTAGGATAAATATTACAAAATAAATGGTGTAGAATAATGTTCTAGAAGTACCAAATAAACTCTCTCCAGTTGAGTGGATAAAAGGTAAAATGAATTGAGTGATGATGAGATTGAGGATCAACTTCGGTTACACCAAATTCTAGGGTCCACACACACTTGACACCCCCATTTTATTATTATTTGTCGACCCATCACCATGTGTTGGGTGGATGGGGTAGGTGGGTGAGTCGTGACTCATTGAGGGATGTTTGGTACCCAAAACCTGTCCAAGTGGGTTCTATGGTTAATTCTTTTGGTTAATGGTTATCTCTACCCTGTATGTTTGTTTGTTGCTTAAGTTTGCGATTATAGAGGTGAAATCATTGTTGCTTAAGTTTGCGATTATAGAGGTGAAATCATTGACACAATGTCATTTTCTTCAAACTTGACATAAACGTTTTTTTTTTTTTTTTTTGGGGGTAAAAATAATAAAATAATAAAAAAAAGATTGAAATTGTGAGATATTTGTCAAAATTACCAAAGAAATTAAAGTTAAAATAATTACAAATAATTACCCACAACACTATGTTTGGCTCCATTTTTCTAAAAACAGTTTTCAGAAAATTCTACTTTTTTATTTTTCGTATTTTTTTATTTTTACTGAATTTTTTTAATATTTTAAGATTTTTTTTTTTTTTACTTTTAAGACATGCCTAACATAATTATACCTAAAAAGTAAAAAAATTGTGAAAAAAAACTTTTAAAAATTCACTCAATACTAAAAATACAAAAAAAAAAAACGAAAATTATGTATATTTTTTGTATTTTTATGTATTTATTAATTTTTTAAAATATTTTTTCACAAATTTTTTACTTTTTAGATACATCGAAGTAAGGTGCATCTAAAAAAGTAAAAAAAATGTTTAAAATGTTAAAAATATTCACTAAAAATAAAAAAGAATACGAAAACCAAAAAACTTTAATTTTCAAAAAACTTAATCCAAAAAACTCAAACCAAACATACTAAATTTTATAACCTCTTCCACCATTTCCATAATTCCCAACCCTTCCTCCACATGTCCGGCCCTACTTATTCTTTTCCACCATGGCTACCACCATTACTCTCATCATTTCTATTAATACTGTCACTATAATCCTTTTTCTCATTATCCAACAATTTCGTTCATTTAATCCTTAACCATTGTAACAACGACAACAACCACAACGACCACAACCTCCCTTAGCCCTTCCCACCACGACTTGAAACTAACAACCCTTGTCATGTTAAAACACTAGTGCAAGTGTTACACTGCTCAATGCATAAGTGGCACTTGCACCTCACTTTTACAAAAAAATAATTTGGTGTAATTGCCAGTTGTCATATGTGCAATTCTTCCCCCATGCATTTGCAATTATTTTTTAAATCATAACATTTAATCTCAATTTTCCCATTTCTAATCAATTGACACCAAATTAATAGATATTTGGCCAAGAACTTCCATATCTCATTACAAAGGCTAGTGGTTTGATTCTCCCAACTTAAATGTGAGTCTTAATCTCTTGATTTGTTTGGGATCTTTATTGTGACTGTTGGATTAGTTTATTCCATGTTATTGTAAGAGTTTATCATATAGTTGAATATAATGTAAATCTGATTACATTTGTAAATAATTTTTATTAATTGACAAAACACCAAATAATTCAAGTACTATAATAATTTTTATGGCACTAATCAATTAAAGATAACAATTTAAACAAAAATCAAAATCAAAATCAAGAGTTCAAATTCCACAAAGTTAGGGTGATTAATATTTTTATCTCTAATTGATTAGAATTTTTTTTTTAATATATTTATTTAGGAGTTTTATCAGAACCACCTCATTCTAAGTTTATTCAAAATCTAGGACACGTACAAGTAGTTTCTTACTTCTAATCATCTAATTTTTGGAGTCATTTTCAGATCAAAATATCCATATGATAATGCTTCAATAGATTTTTATGTTGTTTTACTTTTAGAATGATTTGAAATTTTTTAAGCTCAACAAAGTTTTATCTAGATTATCGGTTTTACAAAATTTAAATTTGTTGACGTCCTCTTGTCAAGATTTATGACCAATTATGAATATGAAATTGTAGAAGAATTGACAAAATTTTACTATATTTGCAATAATCAAAATAGTTTTTTATTTTATTTTTTTATTTTTTTATTCTATTGATGCCTAAAGACTTCAAATTTGAGGGCCCATTGCAAAAATTATGCAACTACTCTTAAATTTTAGATCTAAAAATTTCAAAATTCAGGACAAACTCAATTCAATTATTAAATACCTTAGAACAGAGAAATTTAGCTGTTTTGAACATGCTCTACTAGGAAGGTCAGCCCTAGCGAAAGATAAGTCACATAGTTGCACCTAAGCAAATTTTATACACAATAATATTATAAGCGCATAATACGAACATTGTCTTCTAATAATTTTTTTTTAAAAATGTGATAGTTCAACTTTGAAGACTTTTCACATGGACTTGATCTATTATAATCTTATTATGAGATTTATAACTAATTTTCCAATCTTATTTCCACGTACATATACATTTGGGTAAATTGTATGGTTAAAATAACTAAAATTAATGTAAATAATGAGTAGACACTAAAATAATAAAGATAAATATATATTTTATTTTTTTTGAAAATAGATGACAATGTTATGTTTTCGTTCATACGACTAATGAATTACTAATAAAAAATGATATAAGTATTATGTGAATTAAAATTTAAAATGAAGTTAGTGTAATTATATAAAAGATGTAAGACTGATTATATTTTTTATAAACCATGAGTGTAATTTACCTTATAAATTTAGTGTGAGTTGCAACAAAAATGCTTCAGTTGTTTGATCTGTTTCTAATTTATTCGTTTGGCTATTAAAATAAAATAAATAGTAAGTAGTGTGAGTTGCAATAAAGCGCTGCAGCACCTTCTTAAATGTAGTAACATATCGGTTTGGAAATTTAATTATTTTAGTTAATTTTTAGTTATTTGATTATTTTAGTTTGATTAAAAAAGTTATGTTTAGAATGATAGTTGAAGAGGGAGATTTATGACTTGATAATGGGCTGAGCCAGTTTGGGCCGGAGTTTGGGTCTTTACTCAGTCAAATATTGGGAACATGCTAGACCGGAGTGGTAGCTCGGCTGAGTTATGACAACTTCGGGTTACTAGCCTGGTATAGGGGGTGTGCTCTGCTGAGTTGGACAGAGTTTGTCCTTAGGAGACTAGACCACGCGGGAGCTCGGTCATAACTGTTTAGCTCGGTCAGAACCCTCGTTCAAGTTCGATCGAAGAGACCAGACGGGTTGCGCGGTCCTTAGGTGAGGGCATGGCACCGCGCTATACATAGCTCAGTGAGATATGTTGCACGGTGTGGCAGGACTACAGGGAGAAGATTCCGCAGTCCGTTCGCGGCGATATCGTTTGGCAGTTTTGTCATTTGGTGTTTGGTGGTATTTGCACCTATATGTGGAGAAATGTGAGAAGGGGACATATCCACACATCAGAAGGAGAGCACACAGAGGGGCGTGCATAGAAACTATATAAATAGCGCTGAGCCTCCATGCACAGGTCAGAAAAATCTTGTGATCAGAGCTACCTATCCCTTTGTCTCCTCTCCTTTCCTTCTTTTCCTTTTTCTCTCTCTCTAAGGGTGCTAACTTGACCATTAGAGGGTTTTTCCGACAACCACCCGCCAGGTAGCTCACCGTATTCATGTTCTCAGGTTACTCGGAAAGAAGCCAAGCTTGGACACGAGTACGGAGGGTAAATATTCCCTCCCCGTACAATTGGCATCGTCTGTGGGAAAACATTAACAGACAAAACCTTATCCTCCAAGCTTTTTCGATCACTTTTCATGGCTCACAATGACAAAACGCCACTGTCGATCGTCGACGGCATCACCCCAGAGTCAGTCCGAAGAAGAGATGGTCCACCTGCCGTTCAAGCCATGGTGGGCTTGGAGACTTCCTCTAGAAGGCTCTCCAGAGATGCGCGAGATAAGCGCGCAAGGAGCACAAACCACTCACAGAGTCAAGAAGGGCACCGACGGTGAAGAGAGTCACACGCTCAGCGCCTAGAGCATAAGCTGAGAGACCAAGGCGCTATCATTCGGAGGACAGTGGTAGAGATGGAAGCGCTGAAGCAGCAAGTCAAAGAGAAGGATGTCGTTGGAGTGAGTAACCACAGTGAGCACACCCTATCCCGTCACTCAAGCAGCCAAAGCCAACGAAGGACCCCTTTCCTTTCCACCACTAGAAACTATGGGATTGGTGACTCTAACCAACAGGTGGAGAAGTCTTGTGCGCGAGATAGCAGTTATCATCCTTCGCGTCCGTCGACGACGTTGAGATAGTCTTACTCCGCCCGTTTGGAGGATTTGAAGGACGTCCTAGAAGAACGAATAAGCGAGTATGAGACACAAAGGGCGCCGGCATTGCAGCGACTGTCCCGCAGAGGTTGTACTAGTGAAGAAGTCATCATGCCACCACCATGCCCAGCTGCACACGTGTCACGCCGTTTCTTGTGGGCTTCTACCAGCCTAAGTTTACACTTTACGATGGAAAAATTGATCTATATCTACACGTAAGCCACTTCCAACAAGTCATGGTTGGCTACAGGCGAAATGACGCCCTCATGTGCCTTATTTTCCCATCAAGTTTGGATGAGTTGGGCCTGAAGTGGTTCGAGAGGCTACCAGAGGAAAATATCGAGAGGTGACAGTAGCTGACGGAAGCATTTGTGACCCGATTTAAAACCAACACCAAAATGCCTAAGGAAGTCGACCACCTTCTCAGCGTTAAGATGGAACTGGGCAACTCACTCAAGGCATACAACGCCAAGTATTGGGAAACCCTAAACAAAATTCTCGATTGCCTGACCAACCTAGCAATCACCCGATCAAACATAGACTACGGGACTCGTTTACTATGAGTCAACCAACTACCATAGAATTGCTAATGCAACGTATCAATGAGCACATTCAAGTTGAGGATGATGCGACCGCAGCTACCGCGAAGGCGAATCCGGTAGCGACGGTCAAGAGGGTGGCTGGAAAGGTTAACGCAGTCGGACAGGAGGCAAACCGTCCAAAAAACAGCGAAAGAGAATTAGATCACAGTGCTAACTGCAACAATCGAGGTAAGGGTCATCGCAATGACCGAGCTGACTACCCCCGCGTTGCCGCGGAAGATGCAAAGAGAAATTTGAACGCTCGAACAGGCATCACCATGGTTTTCAAGATCCCAATCTATCGCATCTTTAGCGAGATCCGCGACATGACATACGCCTGGTTTTCGGCTAAGTTGGGCGACACACAAATGGGCTTCAATCTGCGGTATCGCTGTAATTTTCACGTTGAGCGAGGGTACCGTACCGAGGACTATTTGCCTCTGAAACAACATCTGGAAGAGTTGGTAGCTACCGATCACTTGGACCGTTATATTGATAGAGGCGTCAAGGCAGTGCCCCAAGCTTTAGCCGAACCTAACAGTTTGGTTGCCTTAGACGCGCCCGTCCAAGGCATAATCAACGTGATCCATGGAATTGTTGAGCCGACGCGGGTATGCGAGCTCTGGGGAATGATAAAGAAGGCAGAGCACATACGAGAAGTGCTATCTGTCCAGCCCGCGGTCAAGAGGGGCAATACCGAGGTGAAAGATGTACTCAGGTTTTCAAGCCAAGATCTTGACCACATTCAGATGCCGCATAATGATGCACTGGTGGTCACACTTCACATGAAGGATTTTGACATTAGGCATATTTTGATCGAGCAAGGCAGCTCGATTGAAGTAATGCATTATGACCCCTTTAAATAGCTCAAGTTGAATGATAGACACTTGGCCCCAACGACCTTACCACAAGTCGGCTTCAACTCGCAGCCGGAGTGGCCAGTAGGAAAGATCATCCTACCGGTCAAAGCTAGGTCGGTCTTCAAGCAAGTGGAGTTTTGGGTCCTGAAGGTGCCCTCAACATATAAGTTGGTCTTAGGAAGGGGATGGCTTCATGCCATGCAAGCGGTGGCGTCGACTTACCACCAAGTCATAAGGTTCCCCTCCGCCACCGGGATGATAGAAGAAGTTTGGGGTGATCAAGTCATGGCCAAGCAATGTTTCATGGCCGTGAACGGAAATCGCGCAGCCAAAGATTTCATACAAATGATCGAAAGACCGGAAGATTAAAGTGTCCTGGACGATGTAGGTGCTAGGGCCGAAAAGAAGGCTGTTGAAGATTTGGTGGAGGTAAGGATCAATGAAAGTGATCCTGAGAAGTTCGTTCTGTTGGGGTCCAGCTTAACCGCCTAAGAACGATTAGAGATAATCACTTTCTTGGTGGCAAACATCAAAGTGTTTGCATGGATGCCTGACATGCCTGGTGTTGATCCAAGCTTCATTTGTCATCAACTCAATGTTTTTCCCGACGCTCGGCCGGTCATTCAAAGAACACGGAGATCAGCGCTTTATCACGTTGAGGTGGTGGTGGAAAATATGAAGAACTTGCTTGAAGCAAGGGTTATTTGGGAGGTGCACTACCCTCGATGGGTCTCTAACACGGTGGTTATGCTAAAGAAGAATGGGAAATGGCAAGTTTGGGTAGACTATAAGACGGTCAATCGAGCTTGCCCTAAAAACAGTTTCATTTTGCCTAGAATTGACCAATTAGTGGACCTGACAACCGGGCACAACCGACTCAGTTTCCTAGATGAATACCACGGCTACCATCAGATTGCCATGCATGAGCCCGACCAAGAAATCACTTCTTTCACGACCCCAAGAGGATTGTTCTATTATAGAGTTATGTCCTTAGGGTTAAAAAATACGAGAGCAACCTTTCAGAGAATGGTCACAGAGATGTTCGTTACTTTGCTCGGCCAAACAATGGAAACTTATATCGACGACATGGTTGTGAAGAGCAAATGTGAGATCGACCATTTAACCGACCTGACAAAGATGTTAACCATTCTCAAGCAACACAAGTTACTTCTGAACGCATCCAAGTGCGCCTTCGGCATGGGGTCAGTGAAGTTCTTAGGCTTTTTAGTCACTAACCAAGGGATTGAGGCGGATCCCTCTCAAATCAAAGCCATACAAGAATTGAAGCAACCCAACTCAGCAAAGGACGTATAACATCTTGTCAAGATGGCAACCATGCTGAACTGATTTATAAGCTGATCATCAGATCGTTGCCGTCTTTTCTTCCGAGCCTTGATGTCAAAGTTTTCATAGGACGAAGAGTGTGATAGAGCGTTGACTGAGCTAAAGACGTATCTATCTTCTGCTACACTCCTGGTCATGCCGAAGCAAGGCGAAGAACTCTATCTTTATTTGGTCGTTTCTCAACATGCTGTCAACGCAGTGCTTGTTCAGACAGAAGGCATACAACATTTGCCGATCTTCTACGTGAGCAAAACCTTGTTCCCCGCGGAGTCAAAATACTTTCCACTTAAGAAACTGGCCTTGGTGTTGATGATGGCTTCTAGGAAGTTGGCCCATTACTTCCATGCGCATACGATCATAGTGCTAACCGAGTTTCCGTTGAAAGCTTTGTTTGAACGGGTAGACTTCTCTGGTCGAATCTTGAAGTGGGCAGTCGAGTTGAGATAATTCGACATCAAGTTTCAACCCAGAACAACCATCAAGGCCCAGGCATTGGCTGACTTCGTTATAGAATTCTCACCTGGGACTCACTTGGTTTACCCGATGGACCTTATCAACGCAACCGGGTTGAGAGGGGTAGGCATCATGAAATTGCACAGCCAACTCCCACTCCAGTCCATATCAACCCTTCTAATAAACCAAATATGGAAGGCGACGCAGAAATTGCATGCCCAAGCAGAGACCCATCACTTGAAAAACAACCACGTCTTGGCAATGCGCTGATGGATTTGGGAATAACAAGACAACCTATCGGATCCAACATCGCATCGCCAAGGGGGAATGAAGGCATGCAAGCTGCAATCATCATCGATGCGCTTGATGCGAAAATAGTCGAACAACCAAGCAACTCAGAACACTTAAACCTCCAAAAGTCCTAAGACCCCGTAGAATGTGGAAAGCTTTTTATCGGCGAAATGTGAAAACTTTTTTTCGATAGCGCTTTAAGCAAACAAGGAGTTGGGCTAGGCATAGTTTTGATTTCACCAGACAAACTGACCATTGAACATTCCATTACGCTTGTGTTTCCAGCGTCAAACAATGAGGCTGAGTACGAAGCATTGCTAGCCGGACTGAAAAGTGCGCTCCAACTGCAAGCATCTGAGCTAATGGTTTATAACGACTCCCAACTCATTGTAAACCAAGTGTTTGAAGAATATGCAGCCAAAGATGACAAAATGGCCAAATACCAAAATTTGGTGAAAAAGCAGATCAAAAAGTTTTAAGCCATACGAGTTCAACAAATCGGCCGAGAAGACAATAGCCGGGCAGACGAGTTGGCCTGTTTGGCTTCCATGGCCGACAAATCAACCTCCAGCCCTCTCCTGATTGAATTCCTTCCTAGACCCAGTATAGAAGAACCAAAGAAGACTGAACTCCTTTGCGTAGAGCTAGGTCCTTCCTAGATAGACCCTATCATTTTTTTCCTGAAAAAAAGAATCTTGCCGATCGACAAAAAAAAGGCACACAAAGTCCGGGTGAAGTCTAAGTGGTTTTGGCTCTCTCTGTCTAGTGCTTTGTATAAAAGGTCTTTCACATGACCTTACTTGAAATGCGTCCATCCAAACAAAGTTAAAACCTTTCTATTTGAAATCTAGGAAGGAATTTGCGGAAGCCATATTGGGGGAAGATCTCTGGCCTACTGCGCTATCTCGTAAAGATACTGGTGGTCGTACATGCAGGCGGATGCACAGAAGTATGTGAGAAACTGTGAGAAGTGTCAAAAGTTCACCCATCAAATTCACTAACCGGCAAGAGAACTTCTTCGTCTCACAAGTGCTTGGTCATTCACAATGTGGGGACTTGACATAGTGGGGCCGTTCCCAACCGCATCGAGCAACCGCAAGTTCTTTATAGCCACGATGGATTACTTTACCAAATAGGTAGAAGCGGAGCCCCTGTCGACCATCAAGGAGAAAGGTGTGAAAAGATTCCTCTAGCAGAGTGTTATAACGTGATTCGGAGTACCTAAAGCCTTAATATCCGACAACGGCACCCAATTCGACGGAAAAATATATAGGGGATTCTGTGAGGAGTTGAAGATAGAGTTTTACAATTCAACACTGACCTATACGCAGTCGAATGGCCAAGCCGAAGCATCAAACAAGACCATTCTAGATGGACTAAAGAAAAGGCTAGAGAAAGTCACGCAAGTGGATCGAGGAACTCCCAAATGTCCTCTGAGCCTACCGAACAACGCCAAGACGCTCAACCGAGGAAACGGCTTTTGCTTTGACATATGGTATGGAGACGGTCATCCCATTGGAGATTGGTATGCCCACCATCCGCAGTGAAAATTTTGAGCTAGATCTGAATGCCGAAGCCATCGCCCTTGAATTAGACATTGCTGAAGAATGCAGAGAAAGGGCATTGGTCCATGTCGCGGTGTACCAGCAAGAAGTGTCTAAGAAGTATAACAAGACAGTTCACCCTACACAATTCAAGGTCGAAGATTGGGTTTTGCGGAAGATGATGGGCGACACGTTAATACCAGGCGAAGGAAAGCTAGGGGCAAATTGGGAAGGACCATACAAGATAATCGGTTTGGCGAGCAAAAAGGCATACCATTTGGAAGATTTGGACTTCCAAGCCATACCTCGGCCACGGAACACAACCAATTTAAAATTGTACTATTTTTAATTTAAACCTTCAATGTAATTTTTGTAGAGGACATGCATTCCTCTCCATTTACCGATGTTTTGCCCAGCTGAAGGAGTTGATGACTTGTTCAACTCCAAGTTATGGCCGAGGTGTTTTGTCCGGCCTAAGAAGTTGATGATTTTTTCAGTTCCAAGTTCTGGCCGAGGTGTTTTGCCCGGCCTAAGAAGTTGATGATTTGTTCAATTCCAAGTTGTGGCCGAGGTGTTTTTCCCGACTGAAGGAGTTGATGACTTGTTCAACTCCAAGTTTTTAGCTGAGGTGTTTTACTTGGCCTAAGAAGTTAATGACTTGTTCAACTCCAAGCTTTTAGCCGAGGTGTTTTGCCTGGACTAAGGAGTTGATGACTTGTTTAACTCAAAGCTTTTAGCTGAGGTATTTTGCCCAGCCTAAGGAGTAGATGATTTGTTCAACTCCAAGTTTTTAGCCGAGTTGTTTTGCCTGGATAAAAGAATTGATGTTTTGTTCAAATTTTGACTAATGGTTGAGATGTTTTTCCCGGTTAAATGAATGGATGTTTTGTTCAAGAATATTGCAACGTTGTAAAGAAGGAAAACAATGCAATTGCAAGCAACAAAAGTTGTAAAAAATTTCATTCATTGAGCATTCAAGTACAGGGGCTAGTAGCCCCGGTTACAACATGTTCAAAAGAAAAACAAGAGAAAATATAAGACTAAGATAAGGAAAACAATGCAATTGCAAGCAACAAAAGTTGTAAAAAATTTCATTCATTAAGCATCCAAGTACAGAGGCTAGTAGCCCCGGTTACAAAAAGTTCAAAAGAAAAACAAGAGAAAATATAAGACTAAGATAAGGGAGGGAGGGAGAGATCGGCAAAGGCGTCTCCGGCTCCGACGCCGGTTTCCTTCAAATCAACCACGGCGGCCGTATCGTCACGCTCCTTCTGGCCGATCTCACCTCGATCACCTCCTTCCTTGACCACTTCCTCAGTTTTTTCTACGATCTCTTTTTCAACCTCTTCGTGCAATGAATTGAAGACGTCGTTAGCATAGGGCACCATGTAGACCTGCAAGAAGGCGGGGGGGGGGGGAAGTGAAAAAGACCTCGGAATCAGATCCTTGGCCTAATTTTTCACAGTTGCCTTCCAACTGGACTTGAAGAACATGTCCTTGGTGGCTTCGACCTGTTTGGTGTAGCTCTCCTCGATCTCCTTGAAGCCGAGGTTATTGGCCTCGTCTACGTCTTTTTGCCTCGTTTTCTTTAACTCCTTCAACTCGGCACGGAATGCGTCCCTCTCCTGCTCGGCCCTACCAAGCTGGCCAAAAGCCTGGCATTGTCAGCGTTGGCGATTTTGAGCGAGGCCTTAGCTCGGCCAAGCTTGGCTAAGACGTTCTTGCCGGCGTTATTTAACTTGGTCACTTTATGAGACAAGTTAACAATATGGTCCATGACGAGGTGTTGTTTTTTAATAGCCTGCAAGAAATCAAAGTAAAGTTAGCTCAAATAAGAAAGTAACCAAAGAAACACTTAGAAAATTTTCTTAAATTCTTACTCTGGTCATGGATTTGACTTCAGACTTCACAAGTCGAGTGTCAAGTATGTAGTTACTGCCGGTTACGTCGCTTGGTAGCAGCAGTGCTTTTGACAAATCAAATGCCAAAAGGTGCTCCTTATTTACCGAAGTGTTAGCCGGGATCTTTTTGCCCCGATGCTTGAACTCGGGCTTCCACGGAGGAGTCGGCTTAACATCCTGCACCAGCTGCTCGATGCTTAGTTAGCCACGAGTTCGGCCGACAAATCAGCCGAGCGAGCCTACTTGCTAGCCCAACATTGTTTAGCGTGGGGAGTAGCTGTGGAAACCAAGTCAATCACAGTCCTTGAACTCTGACTGGAAGTAGGTATAGGGGGAGGATTGCTCGGTAGCTCAGTTGAGGTGGCGGTGATAATATTCTTGATTAGGCTCTTTTTTGCCATTTTTTGTTCCTCGGTCAATCTGATTAGGGAAACGTTTGAATGTGTCAGATCTGGTGGTAGAGAAGGTACCCGAAGGAAGTCGGTAACCTTGCTTTTGCAGGGAGTTGAGTAACGATAGCTCGGTACGTAACTGAGGAGCTCGTGGCAATCTCGGTGCTGGTATCTTAGCGCGGTCCTAATTGTCTCTTCGTTTGGATAAAGATAATTGGCTTGTAACTCTTCAATAGCTGCAAAAAGAAGGCAATTAGGTTGGTACGATGAATATTGACTAAGTGAATTAACTAGGAAGTTCGGCTTACAAGAAGCACCGAAGTTCTTGCTGATGTACCAATTGGGCACGTCAACCGTTTCATAGTTACTGGACACCTAGAAAAAGTCATCATCATGCATGTCCTTGTCCAGTGTGCTGGTTACTAGACGTTCTCTGCCCGGTCATATTTTTAGATAATAGTTGTAGCCATCTTTCGTACGACTGAGCATATATTGACGCAGAATTTTGGCCAGACCCAACTGAAACCGTAATCGATTGTTCAGCTCGGCAACTTCGTTTATGATCCTATAAGTGTTGGTTGATACTTGTATAGGAGCTAGCCCCGTGCATCTCAAAAATTTGTAAATCAAGGGTTACATGGGAAAACGCAGCCCCCCCTCAATTACACTTAGTATAGTCAAGGGGCAAGACTCTAATCTGTACCATGGGTCTATGTCTTCCTTACTGAGCTCTAAATGTACATCGGCTGGGACACCGTATTTCTCTCAAAACGCGGCCAAAGTGACCAACGTGTCTACAAGGAAGCGATAGCGCCCCGTAAATGACCGACTTATTTAACTTGGCAGTATTGAGTTGGCTAAGCTATGCACGATGGCTGCTCGGTCGTTGAGAGCCCTAGTGTTGGTGTGCCTGGTCCCTTAGGAGTTTGCAGTTAAAAACCAAGGATAAGTGGCGGCGCGGTCGCGCGTATGAGTCTGATTTTAGCTCGGTCACATTAAGCGCGCTTTGCAACTCAGCCTATTTGGTCCTAGTTCAATCGTGCGAGTAGGCCAGATATTGGCCTAGTCACACGACCGAGATACTGGGTAACCCGATTTCCATCCCCAACTCCATGAACAATGAATTTTCGCAGTTGGCTAGTGTTTTCATGTCATGACCCAAACCCGCCCCTTTAGGTTTAGCGACGTAACCGGCTAGTAACCCTGGGATTACCAAAAGCCTCTTAACAGAATAGCAGAATATAAGGGGTTGTGGAAACAATTATACAAAATACAAGGTCCATAGAGCTGTGAAGACATACATGAGACAAATAAGTTTTAAACTTATATAACGTCAAACTTTCATAAAAATTGTATCACCATACAAATAACGTCATGAGGGACTAGCCCAGCATACAGATAAGCAAAACAACAACAAAACATCTTCAACAGGTTCACAAAACTTGATTTCTCAAAGAGGAATCTCCCCGGGAGGCACAGCAGTTGGGTGACTTAAAACACTCCAGGCAGTAACTTAGGCCTAGTCATGTGCCTGCTCACCAACAATCATTGAAAAGATTAAAGAGAAATAACATGTAGATGAGTTCTTGAAGAAAATTTCGATGAAATTGGCTCAAATTGAGGCCCGGGTTCGTGATTGAAAATGATGTGTTAAAATTTCATAATATACTTTGTGTACTGGATTGTTCTGATTTAAGGAAACGTGTTATAACTGAGGCTCACAATTCAAAATTTGCTATGCATCCGGGGAATACAAAGATGTACCATGACATAAAACATAATTTCTGGTGGCCTGGAATGAAGAAGAGTATCACTGACTTTGTAGCTAAATATTTGCACTGCCAACAAGTTAAAGTTGAACATCAACGACCTGCTGGATTGTTTCAGCCACTCCCAATACCAGAATGGAATGAGAGCATATCACCATGGACTTTATTGTGGATTTGCCTCGCTCTTCTCAAAGTATGGATTCTATTTAGGTCATTGTCGACCGATTGACTAAGTCTGCTCATTTTTTGCCTGTTAAAACTATTTATAATGCGGACAAGTTAGCTAATATTTATATAAGTGAGACTGTGAGATTGCACGGTGTGCTAGTATCTATTATATCTGACAGAGATTCAAAGTTTACAACAAGCTTTGGGAATTGAACTACGACTGAGTAGTGCCTACCACCCATAGACAGACGACCAACTGAACGAATCAATCAGACTTTAGAGAATATGTTACGGATATGTGCCCTAGATTTCCAAGGAAATTGGGAGACCTACTTACTGTTGGCTGAGTTTGTGTATAACAACAGATACCATTTGAGTATCGGTATGACTCCGTATGAAGCTTTGTATGGTAGGAAGTGTTGTTCTCTGATTTGTTGGGCTGAGATAGGTGAAAGACCGTTGTTAGGACCGGAACTTGTGCAACAAACAACTGAAAAAGTGAAATTGATACAACAATGTCTGAAAACTACATAGAGCTGCCAAAAGAGTTATGCCGATATCCGAAGACGTGATAGAAAATATGAAGTCAGAGATCATGTGTTTATCAAAGTGACTTCAATGAAAGGCCAGACACGGTTTGGAGTGAAGGGTAAGTTAGCACTAAGATATGTTGGGCCTTATGAAATCCTTGAGAAAATTAACTATCAGGTAGCCTTGCCTCCAGTCATGGAAAATATGCACAATGTCTTTCATGTTTCAATGCTTCGGGATTATTTAAGCAATCCATTCCATGTTATTGAACCAATACATGTACTTTTGAAGGATGATTATAGGTATGAAGAACGGCCAATTCGCATCATTAACCAAAAAATCAAAAGATTGAGGAATAAGGAAATTTTGTTGGTGAAAGTTGAATTGCAGAATCATGGAGGAACTTATGCTACATGGGAAATGAAAGATAATATGATAAGGAGATATCCAGATTTGTTTCCATTGAACCCAACGTTCTTCCAAAATGAAGGTAACTTGAGTTTGGAGGACCAAACTCTTTAAGAGGGGAAGACTGTAACAACCCCGACCTCTGATTAACGTTAATTCATGATTAAATAAGCCTAATCTGTAATTAAGGTGAAATTCTGAATTAATTGTATGTGTGTCGCATTATTGTGCTTACATCTATTTATCGTAGAAATATTTGTTTACATTTCTATTTCGTTTTGCGAATTGAAGGCCTTATCGGCATCTGATTATGAAATAGACTTGATTTATGTCCTATTTAGGATTTTCAAAACATTATTGTAGGTTTAATTAGAATTTGATTCAGAATGATTAAATTAGAATAGTTAATGTCAACTAATTAACCAACTCCTAATTAAAACCTATATAAGGCACCTATTGTACCTCCACTCATTCTTTTTCTTCATTTCAACACATCTTTGAGCTTACACACATAAACCAAACATGGGAGAGAGATGGAAGAGGTGTTTGAGCTAAAATTAAGAGGATTACTAGAGAACTTAGAGATTTTAAAGCTTCCAACAATTGATCATCTAGAGCATCATTGACAAGCTTAGGTAAGAATTCAACCTTTAGATTGTACAATTATGATGTGTAGGATATGAACTCTAGAGAATTAAATTGGATAATACAAGAATTGAGTAGTGTAATGCAAGAATTCAACTTAGATGGTTGACTATAGGAGTGTATCATGCATGCATGCATATATCATGGCATTTTGAGTAGGTTTCTAAAGAACTTTCACATGCACGTGTTTATCTTGACTTGGTTTTGAGAATTCATCACATTTCTTACCATTTGACCTTAATTGATCATGTTTTGGAAGGCCTAAGTTGTTGTATGGAGTGTTTTGAGTCAGCTAACTACTGTGCCTCCCAAAGAGGTTCCTCTTTGAGAAATCAAGTTTTGTGAACCTGTTGAAGATGTTTTGTTGTTTGTTTTGCTTATCTGTATGTTGGGCTAGTCCCTCATGACGTTATTTGTATGGTGATACAAGTTTTATGAAAGTTTGACATTATATAAGTTTGAAACTTATTTGTCTCATGTATGTTTTCACAACTCTATGGACCTTGTATTTTGTATAATGGCCTCCGCAACCCCTTATATTCTGTTATTCTATTAAGAGGCCTTTGGTGATCCCAGGATTACTGGCTGGTTACATCGCTAAACCTAAAGGGGCGGGTTTAGGTCGTGACATTTCATATCAAAAAGGCGTTGCAAGCTTGGCCAAACCCAAATCCACACCTGTTCATCACAGGAGATGATGAATAGCGGGAAACTAGGGGCACGAGAGCTTTTGGACATCAAAAGCAACGCAAAAATCCTAACCCTATTCAATTTTTGGTAGTATTCAGGTGTTATAATCTTCCTCAAATGATGGATATAAGAGTTGAAGTTTGAAAACACGAGAAAAACGTGAAAAACAGATGAAGGACAAGGGAATAAGAGAAAAAACTTACGAGTTGGTGCACGAATCGAGGCTACAATCAGTGAAATGCTTCGCAATGGCGACGACAAGATCAAATCCACTAGTAGAATGCTCCGACTTGGACAAAAAATAAAAGGGATAGAGCTCAGATATGTTGTTGCGCTGGTTTGTTAATGGAAGAGATGATGAATAGTGGAAATGAAGGGTGGATATGGAGGTGAAGTATATGGAATGAGAAAGGACACCAAAAATTTGAATCCAAAAAGACAATGTGGGACATGTGGGTTAGCCGTACTAGGCCAATGGGCAAGCGACACGTGTCTATGACGAGACCAGTGTCAGTTTTGAAAAGACAGGCTAAGCAGACATGCGACAACCAAGCAGGCGACAAAATCGAGCATAAGGAATGGTATGGTTAGAGACTGTGCACCGATTAGGGAGCGCGGGTGATGCGGCACTTGACCGAGCATATGACAACCGGGCAAAAGAATGAGTCCGTCTAGAGAATATAATCTCGGTCGCACTAGCGCAACCAGAATTAAGGAGCAATTGAGAGGGAGGTTTATGACTTGATAATGGGCCGAGCTAGTTTGGGCCGGAGTCTGGGTCTTTACTCGGTCAAATATTAGGAACACGCTAGACCGGAGTGGTAGCTCGACCGAGTTGAGACAACTTCAGGTTACTAGCCTGGTAGGGGGTGTGCTTTGCTGAGTTGGACAGAGTTTGTCCTCAAGAAACTAGACCGCGTGAGAGATTGGTCATAACTGTTTAGCTCAGTCAGAGCCCTCGTTCAGGTTCGACCGAAGAGACCAAGCGGGTTGTACAGTCTTTAGGTGAGGGCGTGACACCGCGCTATACATAGCTCAGTGGGATGTGCTGCGCGGCATGGCAGGACTGCTGGGAGAAGATTATACATTCTGTTCACGGTGATATAGTTTGGTGGTTTTGTCATTTAGTGTTTGGCGGTATTTGCACCTACACATGAAGGAATGTGAGAGGGAAACATATCCACGCGTCAAAAGGAGAACAAACAGACGGGTGCACGTAGAAACTGTATTAAAGGCGCTGAGCCTCCATGCATAGGTCTAAAAAATCTTGTGATCAGAGCCACCTACCCCTTTGTCCCATTTCCTCTCATTCTCTTCCTCTTTCTCTCTCTCTAAGGGTGCTAGCTTGACCATTGGAGGGTTTTTCCATCAATCACCCGCTGGGCAGCTCATCGTCTTTGTGTTCTCAGGTTACTCGGAAAGAAGCCAAGCTTAGACACGAGGAGTATGGAGGATAACGAATATTCCCTCCCGTTACAATAGTTATTTTTATTTATTTATTTATTTATTTTGTAGTTGATTTGATAATTGTGAGAGAAAAATTGAAATGATTATAATTTGGATGTAACATTTTATCTTATTAATTATTTTAATCTATTTTATTTTTGTTGACTAATTTAACTAAAAAAGTCGCAAACCCAAGTTCCCAAACACTTGTATGAACATAGTCAGGAAATGTTTAAGTACTAAAAACTAAGGGAAAGTTACGGATAAATCCTGAATTATGAAAAGGTGGTCGACATATTCCTGGAAAATATTTATTAGTCTGTTTAGTCCTAGTTCATGTGTGTTTACTAAATTGTCCTCCTTACGCACGTGTGTGAGGGATACGCTGATGGTCGGATGTTTGCTGTGGGATATGTTTGGGTGTCACATTAGCAAAAGGGCTATAGTAGCTTTTGTTGGTTGCCACATGTGTGATGGGTTGCAACGTGGACGGTGTAACCCGAACCGTTATTTGTATCCATTTGTCTAATATGGAAGCCCCTTTTTTGTCACTCAAATGTTGGAGACGGTGAGTCGGCAAATCCCTAGGATTTTGCATTTGTCGTTTGTAGTGATTTTGTTGTGAAAGGTTGTGTAAATCTTAGGGATTTGGTGTTTCTTGACGTTGTTGACGATTGTTTGTGGAGTGGTGGTGGGTATTTTGGGTTTTGATGGTTGTAAACGGCTGCTAAGGTTTACTGTATGGGTTGGAGGTCGAACAGTATTTAGGATAGAGGGTTGACGTAAAGAATCGACGACGTTATAGAAATGACCCACAAGCATAAGTGATATTCCTTGAATCTTCATATTCGTATGGTAAATCGTTGGGCTTTTAGTGTGTCTGTGTCGCATAAAACAATTTGGGGGCTATTTGTGTGGAGCAGTGTGTGTCAGGCATGTGTGTGTGTGATGTGTGTATGTCATGTTGGATTGTTCGATAGTTTACATGTGTATGTTAATTTAGTTTGGGTTGTGGTATGATGAATGCCAACTGATATGTTGTTGTTATGTTTGCTGGAGGGTTTTATGGTGGACACAACAGTGGAGGTGCGCATTGAGAAAATGTAATAGCAGGCATGTGTTAGGGCCCCCCCACACCCCACCCACTATGGTAAGATGTAAAGGATGTTTAATATGATGTTAGATTGTTGTGGCATATGGTGTACTACGAACAAATTAGATGTTTTAATGTGGATTTTTTTGTTGTTTGTTCTTTGTTTATGTTGTTTGGGGAATGATGCATGTGTTTTGGTGTTTTTATCTTATACGTCGCGTGTGTAATGTGATGAATAGATATATATGACAATTAGTGTTGGAGGGACGAGTTGAGGTTGTGTACGTCGTGTGGACAAAATGAAGTTGGGAGACACACATATGCTTGGTGTGTGGCGTCGGTTGGGTTATGAAAGGTATGTACTATGTAGGGTTCATTTTGGTAATTATTGGTTGGGTTAATAGGCGATAAATTTAACTGGTAGAATTTTTGTCAGCTTAAAGTGCATGTTGTACTACAATAAACGGTTATGGTACACGCGTTAGAGTAGTTGTTTTTGTGAATTGTGATTTAATGCTTGTTTCATGTTGCCATAAATAAGTGTTTGATATATTGATGTGAATGTTAGTTATGACGCGTGTGTTTGTGCTGTTGATGAGATGTGTTTGCTAATGTTGCGTTTTTATGTGCAGAAGTGACACAGATGAAAAACCCGTGGACTAGGTCTTGTGAATGAAAAAGGTTGGGAGGTAGCGGGTGTCCCGTTATCATCGAAGCTAGGTGTGAAAATGCAAGGGCGTGTGTTGTTCAAACAGCCGCAAAATGTTGTCCTGAAATGTTTGTCACCTAAGAGGGCCACTCACTATATAAATTTCCGATCGAACATGGCTGGGGATATTAAGGTGGTGTCTGAATTAAGGTTACATGAGGGCCACTTTCGTCAGTTGAGAAGGACGCCCTTTGGTTTATGTTTGAAGCCATCATTATTAACAAATCGAATTGGAACGAGTTCAGAAAATGTGACGATCTTATGGTTAAGATTGTGAAGTCATACAATCGAAAGGATGATGAGTTCTATATTGGGGGAAGGCCAGTGAAACTTAGGAAGGCGGACATTAGGTTGGTCTTTGGTTTGCAATGTGGTGTCCAACATGTCAACCTAACTCTAGGCACAAGGCCGACTTCAGATTTCATACAACGATGGTGTAATGGTGTAGGTCGGATAACTACAAGCCTAATAAGAAATTTGCTGGATGATGCTGTGAAAAGTAGATCAGTTCGTGACGAATAAGACACTGCCAAACTAATCTATCTGTATTTTTGTATGAAGTTTTTCTCAATGTCTGGTGAGACGATTAGTTGAGTGTTTGTGCGTTACATCGACAATTTGGACACACTACAAACATATGATTGGACTGCTACAATTCTGAGCATGTTAATGGGATCGATGCAGGAATTTTATCGGACACCAGAGAAAGTTACTGGGTGCGTTGTTGCCCTCCTAGTATATAGTGACAGTAACGAATGATTTAGTTTGTGAAATACTATTTTTTGAATGCTTATTTGTAATATCATGATCATTATGTTACTGACAATGGGATGTTGCATTATGTTGGCTGTTGGTTGTTTTTTAAATCGCGTGGTATTGGCTGTGTGAACACATTGACATTGTGACAACCGCAAAACCCATCATGTTTCCTACGTTTTTGAAATGGAACATAAACACATTGCTGGCAAGGACGCGTGGGTTTGATTTGACAGTCGCAACACAATTCCAGGTACATATATTATTTGTGTTTGGTGTGAAAGGTGGTTATGAACGACACTATTTTTTTTGGGTTGTCCATGTGTAATTGTGGTTTGTTGTGCTGAGTTAGTATTTTTGTCACTTGAGCCTATCGTTGCACCCATAGATGTGATAGAAACTCTTCTCATAGTTTTGGCCTCTCATGTGGAAGAAATTAAAAGGGATTTAACAGTAGAAAATTATAATGATAAAGTAAATCAGTAAATCAGCATAGATGGGATTTTATTTTTGATTTTGATCTTATTGTGTCCACCCATGAGATTTCTTTACACACTATACCTTTCACACACATATTTCTTCACTTTGTGAATCCTCTTCCCACAAGTAATTTACAACCTAGTCCCGTATTGTTAGACGGGTTGATTTATTTTCATTACAGGGATCCATATCTCATAAATTGGAAGAAAAGACAAAAATAAGTTTGTGTTGATATTTGGCTAAAGTAAACAAATTTCTTTAAAAAAAAAAAAAACGCACATGTGGCCTGGGTCCTGCACGTGTGGGTTAATTCTTGAAACAAAGTTTGCCAATGCTTTATATGCATAAGCGGGGGCTAGTGCATGCGTGTCACCGCACATGCGGTGCGTTCTCCCGTACGTGCGGCAGGTTGGAAAAAAAATGATTTCTTTATTGCAAATTTTTAATGTTATTATTATTATTATTATTATTATTATTATTATTTATTTCTCTTCAAAAAAAAATTGTGTATGTGTTGTGTTAGT